CAGTTGCCATCTTCATCTCGGTTCTGTTGTTCATCATCCCTTCTGACGTGTCGATCGGTTTCAGAGACAATGACCAAACAGGTACGTTTACATTAAACAAGAATTCAAACTGCTCTTCCTGCATAGCTGTAATGCTTTAGGCTAGGCAAGGCACATAGCTAATGAAAGTTCTCTGGTTTTGTAATTTAACTAAGTAGGAAACACTTATCCCAGCAACGTTCTGGACACTAGTACACACATCTGTAAAAGCTGCTGGAGTCTTCAGGAGAGAATACATGACTTACCAGATATGTTGCCATACTTTTCCATCCCTCTTACCTGTACTCTACGATGCCTTTTGGAGCAGCTACACATCACATCATATTGTGTCATATTGTGTCCAGTTCTGGGCCCCTCAGTTCAAGAAGGACAGGGAGCTGCTGGAGAGAGTCCAGCGCAGGGCAACTAAGATGATTAAGGGAGTGGAGCATCTCCCTTATGAGGAAAGACTGAGGGAGCTGGGTCTCTATAGTTTGGAGAAGGGGAGACTGAGGGGTGAGCTTATAAGTGTCTATAAATATATAAAGGGGGAGTGTCACGAGGATGGAGCCAGGCTCTACTCAGTGGCAAACAATGACAGGACAAGGGGTAATGGGTACAAACTGGAACACAAGAGGTTCCACTTAAACTTGAGAAGAAACTTCTTCTCGGTGAGGGTGACAGAACACTGGAACAGGCTGCCCAGGGAGGTTGTGGAGTCTCCTTCCCTGGAAACATTCAAAACCCGCCTGGACACATTCCTGTGTAACATTATCTAGGTGTTCCTGCTCCGGCAGGGGGATTGGACTAGATGATCTTTCGAGGTCCCTTCCAATCTCTAGCATACTGTGATACTGTGTGATACTGTGATCACTCATCAGTATTTTTGCAAGTCAAGTTTTAAATCTTTGTTGATGATTGCTTTAAGAGATAATTCCAGTCTACTTGGATCTTGCTGGCAGAAGTGTTTCCTGATGTTCAGACTAAACTCACCTCCCTCCAGGAAGTTCTCTTTTCTCTGGAGGATGCAACAATGGCTTACAAAATCTTTCTGGGTTTTAGGCAGCAAGCCAAGGATCCAAGCACCCCCAGCTCTCCTGGAGTGGAAAGTAGTTCACCAGAAAATGCCATGGAACATTGTGTTTCTGCTGGGAGGTGGCTTTGCCTTAGCTAAAGGCAGCGAGGTAACACTCCTCTGCTTACCTGGTATTTGTGTCTTCCTGGGTGTTTTCCATCTTGCTTTCCACGAGTGCTCTCCCAGAACACAAGAGGGCATGCTGGTAGCACTAAACATGCATCTCCTCAGCTAGTGGCAGTAGGACAGACTTCCTTAGGAGGAATCCTGTGATGAGAACAAATCCTTATTGTTGCTTGTGCAACTGGGATGGTACTACCAATCCAGGCAGCACATTAACTGTGTTTCTAGAAGAGTGGATGATTAAGAAACTACCCCAACACATTGAAAGTTTTATTAAATAAACCTTAACTGATGTGGAAAGAATGAGGAGATGATGTGCCCAGGATGGGCCTCCAAACTATTTCAAACTAACTACTTATGGAAATAGGATTTAAATTAAATTAGAAGACAAATGTAGAGCTAGCTGGAGAACCTTCAGCAGCAGATAAAAATGTTTAGATTAAAACAAAAAGACCTGAATGTTGATCATGTGCAATAATGACTTGACCAGAGAAATAATTATTTGCCATCAATAACATACTATAATGCAGTACCTTTTTCTTATTTTAAATTCTTTGCAAGGGAAAGCATGTTATTGTTATTTAACCTACCAAATGATTGTATCTATGAGCATTGCCTTTTACTTGTTCTACAGAAAGCAGTTTGCATGTGAGCTCCTGTAAGAAGGGAAGGTAGAATCAATATGAGAAATGTAACTGGACTGTGATGTGGCTATTTCCTCTCCAGCCTACTGTCCTGACAAACCTCTTTCCTCTGTTACAGGAGTCTCATCTGTCCTCATGGTTAGGAAGCAAACTGAGTCCTCTGCAGCAAATCCCTCACCCAGCTATTGCTCTCCTGTTGTGTCTCCTTATTGCCACTTTCACTGAGTGTGCCAGCAATGTGGCCACCACCACCCTCTTCCTCCCTATTCTGGCTTCAATGGTAAGTTCCAGCATTTCAAAACACTCTTATAACAACAGCTTTCAACTCTTTCCCAAGCATATATCTGCTCAATTATAAATAGCTGGCTAACACAGCCAAGCACTGATTCATGTATCTGATCAGGAATACAAGATTTATAATGTACATATATGCATGTGGATGCATATATACTCACACACACTGTGCTCAGTTCAACCCTTCTAAAACCATGGCTGCTGAAAAATAAAGGGATTAAATTCATTGACATATTAGACTTTGCCTTCTGGCCTAAACAACCTCATGAGGTCACTGCCAGCTGTACTTGTTTTTTCCTATTTGTTCTGCATAGAGACAGCACCAGCAGCAGCATTTGCTTCCCTGCAACATTCCATTACTGTATTTCACTCCCACCACTGGCCTTCCAGAAGTCTCTGAAGGTGATAGCATTAGTCAGGCTTTATGACCTAATTCAGATTTTTGCATTTTCACAGATTCCTGTTGCTGGGGTAGACACAGTTCTGCAGCATGAAAAGCTGGTTCCACACAGAAACTGCAATAAGCTCCACCAAGATCTGTTTGCATAGGCACCAGTCTCACCCCTAAACCACTCACCTTCAGAGCTTGGGCTACCCTGATTCCTCTGATAACAGAGTTTTGTTCTTAACCAGTTTGAAGCAACATTTTTTCCTGCTTTTAGAGTGGAGTACAACCATTATTAATTTATGCTGCAGGAGTGATCAGATTCCACCATCAGGAACACAAAGCACTGACCACAAAATCACTTCTTGCATTTGCTGCATACAGACATTGGCTGGAATTTGCTAAAGCAGAACCAACGTTTCAGTGGCTGCAGTGTTTGTAAAAGATTGAGGTTTCTGACGTAACAAATACAGTCTCTGCCAAAAGATTTCTATGTGGGTTTGTCTATCAATCAAAACCATCATATTTGCTCTCCCTCCTTGCACAGGCTGAAGCGATCTGCCTCAATCCACTCTATGTCATGCTGCCCTGTACACTTTCTGCATCGTTGGCATTCATGCTCCCAGTGGCCACTCCTCCTAATGCTATTGTCTTCTCCTATGGACAGCTCAAAGTGATAGATATGGTGAGTGAAAGCCCATTCTTTTCAGAATTTTCATCATTATAAAGAACAGTAGCACTTACAAAGATGCCCTTGAGCTTTTAAAGAAAAGGCAAGGCCTCTTGAACATCTTCCAGTAAGATCTTGCTGTCAATGAGAAATGACAATGTCTAACTGATTGAAAAGGACAAAGGTAGATCATAGAGATGTGAGAGTCCAACCACCTGGACAGTCCTGCAGGTACAAGGGGAAAGCCCAGCCCATGTCACTAGGCTGCCCTGATGCCCTTTCTCACTATATTAGGATAAGACTGACAAGGATACCATGTCTCTTGATAACTTTTCTAACCCATGATTGATCCAAGAAGTCCAAAGTAACATTAGAGACAGACATCAGGTCAGAAGAGAAAGTCCCACAAAAGTGGATTAAAAGGATTTCAGAACTTCTAGTTTTATCCAAAGGAAACTCATTTTTCCCTAATACAAATTATATTTGTGAAGAAAACCAACTTTGGTGTAATTGGATGGAGTTATGATGGACTTGTAAAAAAGGTCAAAGATAAAACCTAACCATACACAAAACCCTAATCATCAAGGAATTAAAAAGAACTCAGTTCAGCTTGTAACCTTTCTCTTTTATAATTCCAGGCCAAATCTGGGTTTGTACTCAACATTCTAGGAGTTCTGACGATAAATCTAGCCATCAACACCTGGGCTTCATCTTTGTTCCAACTGCAAACTTTCCCATCTTGGGCAAATAAGACAGGTACATGCCCGTAATATGGAGAGGCACGAAAGCAACACAGTTTCTGTTGGAACTGCAGCGAGAGCAAGACTATCATCTACGTGTGTTTTGCCAAGGCACTGGTTAAGAGACAGGCCTGCTCTGTGGAAAAGGACAAGCCACCTACAAGCAAAATCACTCCGTTGATAACAGCAATAAAATTGCCTAACAGTGCTGTTTAGCTGGCAATTTTGTTACCCTAGAAAAGGTAACCTTTGGCTTTCCAACTGTCCCAGGTATCTTCAGGTTTTCTGTCTCTGCAAGGGTAGATTTTCCCCAAGTGCTACACTGTTTTTCCAGTTCCTCCTGCAGAATGTGAAATCTGCAGCAAGAAAGAAGAGAAGTGTGTATATAAAGAAGAGACTGTACATTGCTGGTCTCCTAATCCTGATGAGTATACAGTCTGCTGTGTATGTGTTCAAGATGTATATGACTGTTAAATTCTCTGTGGGCATTCCCAGCAAGACATGTGCTGTATGATTACAGACAAGTCCCATATTGTCAGCCCACTATATTACTTTGAAATGTATTTATTTGCAGTCCACTTATGAATGTAAAAGACCATTTTATTCCTAGAATGTCTCTCCCATTGTTATTTATGTAAGATTACAGCTTGTGAGGTCATGATAAGAAGAGCAATATTCTTTTGAGAAGGAGAGAATCCCTGTGTCCTAAAATATACATGATTGAATTAAAGATTTTTTTATGTACCCCTGTGTTATGGAGAATTTTCCCATTATATATCAGTGCTTCTGTCTTCCATGTACCAGCTGCTTGTGTGTGGGCTTACTTAAAATATCTTTAAATCATCAGAGAAGTTAACATAATTGATTTACTCTTATTGTTAAAGTAATCATTACTTCATTATTAGGAGTCCAATTTTCTTGGGATCTCAAACCCAAGATCTTCCTTTGCAAAAGCCTCTAATACTGTTAAATATTTAATCTTATTCTGCTGGAACTGACTTGCAGTTCCTAATGACTGAACTGACAAAGATACTAGAATATCCAAAGACACTTTGTCAAATCAAGCACTTAGTGCCATAAATGGGCTCAGACACACCAGTTATACAATAGGTGCCCTTGAACCCTGCACTAAATGCTTTGTTTTGTTGTTGCCTGCCCAAAGTCTATTGCATTTCTGAAGTCCCACTTGAACCCTACAGGTTCAATGAGAGTGAACATGGGTGAATTTCACTCTAAAATAGCATGCATGCTCTTCAGAATCTTCTTTCTTTCTCTATGGTAATTATGAGGTGACAAGGACAGAGTGCAGTGTACATGTGATTTATGAGATGTTAGAATTCACTGACCTGCAGTAGTTTATTTCCAGTTCCAACTGTCAAGACAGTTCTTGTGTCTGCTGCTCACTGATTCCCTTTGCATTCATGGCTTCATTGCTCTGAAAAATCACCTACTCAGGAAGAACAGTTTGGTATTAATCCTTCAGCGGCTTTGAAAGGTAGTGTTTGATTTGACATGTGATAGGGATCCAATAAACTATCCACAGCACGAGAAGGAAAGGCATTTATTCTCTTTTGCTAATGAGCTCCTGGGTAATTGATTTCAATCACATAATGACTTGCTCAGGCCACTGCTAAACCACTCACTCACCTTCTTTCCTTTTGCATTTACCTCTATCAAATAACATAAATCTGTCTAAATATTTTCATTACCCTGCTCATCCTGTGTCTGAGCACCCAAAAATGACAAACTCAAGCAGATGATTTGCTGGAAGCCTCTCCCTTCTTTGCTCTTTGTCTACAGCATCAGGGCACTGTGCATAGCTTTTGTTTGCTTTTTGTTTTCTTTGAAACACTTGCCCAGAGTTTACATGTCCTTCTAAATTACTGCTTAGCTAAGCAGGAAATAGAGCATTCTTATAACATATCCCATCAGCCTCTCCTTCCAGCCCTTTAAAAGTGTGTTATGATTCTTTGAAGTCTTTTCTATTAGTCTACATTATTCAGAGGCTGTGGTGTGCATAACTACATGCAGGAGCACAGGTGCAATCTTTATGGCAATCTCAAGAAGAAAGAAGAGAGACATCAAGTAGCACAGAGTGTCATGGGGCCAATGCAATAACACTGGGTGTTCCATGTTCATTAGCATATATGAGTATATCAAGGTTAGCGACTTACCAGAAAAGGGCTGCAGTGAAAGTTACACAAGGGGGATGTACAGATGCTTAGCTCCCAGAAGAACAGGGGTGAAAAGCTGTCATCTGGAGACAGAGAAGTCAACAATAATGTCAGGGTATCAGCAGAACAGATAATTTCATTAATAGTTTCCACCTTGAAGTGATGGTAGTAGCAAGTATGCACTGGGCAGTTTATTGCCCTGGGTGTGTCTGAACACAGGAGTAGTTGAGGTGCAGCTAAATATAGTGTGCTTGTGCAAAACCCAGTAACACTATTAAAAACGTTCATCATTTTGTAAGCAAAGCAGGTAGAAAGTGTTTCTAAGCCCCATTATTACACAGATCACCTTTGAAGGGTGGTTCCCCATTATGTTTCCAGATATTGCCCTCAAGGAGTGGCTCTATTTCCCATTGTGTGATCAAATTTCACAACCTTCTGTGAAACTGCCAGCTCAGCACCTGCTGTACTTAGGTGCGATTTCCAATGCAGCTCTTCATTTTGGGGTTGACACTCAGTTGGTTTTACACAGGAGCTGTAAGTGATAAATTTGTTAATCAGAAGGGGCTGTCTGCCTCCTTGCCTGCCTTGTCTAAAAAGCAAGTGCTCTTCAAAACCACAAAATACAGGTTTCCCACAGTATATGCCAGTGAGTAAGTGGGTGACTCGCAGTCACCTCCTCCATTTTCCCTGGAGTTATGGTGCTGTCTTGCCTTGCCTTGCCCAGACACACGCACACACACACGCACACACACACGTTCTACAGGCACATACATGTACACCTAAGAGAATGTCAAGGATTTAGCCCAGTAAAACATATGCATTTCTACAACCTATGGCCCCACAGAAAACCAGCTTGATGTTAAGCAGGCTAAGACAACAATGAAAATAGCTTACAAGTGAGAAAGGCACTTCATCATAAACATCTTGCCAGCAATTTGTAAAGTGGCATTTAAGTGATGCAAGGGTCACTTCAGCAGGCACTGGAATCATAAACAGACTTAACAGTCCATTTTCAAGCCAAAACAGGTTAAAGTTAATCCTCAACTTGGTTTGGAGAAACCAAAAACTTGCTCCCAGTCACTTAAAAGGTATTAAAATGAACTTTAAAGAAGCCTTGTTGTAGAGCGCTGACACCTTGAAATATATCTAGATCTTACAACTTAATTCCTAGGCTTTCATTAAACAAAACAAAAAACTGCTTTGAAGGAAACTTTATCATATAATAGACATAAAATAACTCTCAAACAGCTGAAAAATATTTCAGAAAACAAAAGACAAACCAACAGAGACATGAAGGTCCAGTGTTTTATCCAGCAGCCGTCAGCATGTATGTAAATCTGGGCCGTTCTCCCCGAGCTGTAAGAGCAGCTCCCCTCTCATGCTTGGAGCCAATTCCTCCCTCAGGTAACTATGGCATGCAGTCAGCAGTGTGTCCAGGGGCAGGGGGTTGGAACTAGTTGATCTTAAGCTCCTTTCCAAGCCTAACTATTCTATGATTCTATGATCTTAGTGCAAAGGTGCAGCTCTCTCCATTTGGCATATTCGTTCAGGAACACAACTCTCTGCTCTCAATTACTATGTTGGGTTTAGTGTATGCAAAGGCAGAAACAGAGTTTATCGTTTCTGCAATGATGAATAACTAGAGAACAGAAAATAGACATAAAAGAGCTTAGGAAATACGTAACTTGAAAACATCAAGGAATTTCACAACACTCTATTTTTTTTCCAACACGGAACCAATAAAACTATTTACAACTTGATTCACTGAACTTTACGATTTGAGTTAGTAATGACCAAGTGCCAAAGTCTGGAAATGAAGTGGTTTGAATGTACTAATCACCTGGTGTCCAGAATAACAACTGTTTAATACAACTTAATCACTACTGTCAATGCTGTGCATTTTCTCCTATTAAAGAAACATTTAGTATTATTTATCCTTTAATCATACTTAACAGACTGAAAACGTCAGGTTGCTATTCAGGGTGTAGAGTCCCTCGCCCTGTGCCATCTAGTGGCTGCAGGCACTGCACCAGGGCATGCCCAAGGTTCCCAAAACAAGGCCAAGCACCCAGGCTGGTGTTGATCTTCCTCGGAAAACACTTTTAAATAGCTAAGGGGAAGTCACGGAACAAGAGGAACACTTTTGAAAGGCAATGCAGGACAGGAGAGCTGCAAAATTAATGTAATTGATTCAAATTGGCAAAAAGAAAAAAACCCCAAAGCACAAACTTGAAAACAGAGAAGGAACAGAGCGGTTAATTCAAGGGTTCAACACTTCTGTCTCATTAGACATGATTTAGATCAGACCAGAAGCAACTGCTTGAAGGCTCAGACCTTTTGTGCTTGTGTAAGACATCTCTCTTGCTAAAGCTCTAGTTGTGATTGCTGTTAGATGACACTGTGCTCTAAATACTATCAACAAAACCATCAAAACTTCACACTGCTTCAAGTTTATACTATTCAGCCAACTTTAGGTTGGTATTGAGGTTCTCTTGCCAGCCCAGCAGTCTCATTTCCCTTGATCCCTGTCCAGCCAATGAGAAGCAGAACGATTTCAAGTTTTCCCAATACCTGCCACTGGGACCTGGGACTTTCCATGCTTTGGAAGGAAAGGAAAGCCATAGGACGCCAAATGTCATCAATTCTGCTGATTACAGAGCTGATTTCTTTCTATAAGGCAAAAGTGGTCAGTGTTGTCCATGAAACAAATGTCTGTATTACTGTGGAATTGCACAATGTCAGAAGAGCAAGTTGTGTGCACTAGCAGAAGGGGAACGCAGCCTGGGCACAGCTAGTGGCTACAGCAGCAGTTTCCCTGGTTGCCTATCAAAGGGATCTTACACAGTGAGTAGTGGTTGTTCTGGGGCAGTTGTAGTGCCTGCAAAGGGAAAGACACGTTTCCCTTTTTGCTGTAGGACTCTCCTGATGAGACTTGCCAGAAAATTCAAAAGGATCCTCTTTATTTTTTAAGATGTCTGTCACCTGAAGGGAGGTTGAATTTTCCTCTTTATTCTTACCTCTGGCAATATCATTCCAGCTCCATGAAACATGCAATCATAAATCACTTGTCTGCATTGCAGATAACACAGTTGTACAATGCAACTTCCTCACACCTGTGCTTTTTTCTTTTCTCCTTCAACCGAAGCAAGTGGTGTTGTGGTATCTAGAGTTACAATTGGTACTAAAGAAATAGTAGTCTCAGAAGATACCACCCAGTCAACGTGAAATAATCACTGTCATTCCTTTAGTGTTACATCTTTATAATCCAGGCTACATAAAAAATAGTGACATCATCATGACTTTGAGAGACTTGCAAGCTTAGGGATGAAACCAGAGCAGTTCTTCCTCTAATTAGTGGCAAAAGGCAACGACCACAGCGAGCACGAGTCCTTCTGCATAGTCACAAAAGAGCAGAGAATGGCACAGAGAAACCAAACTCCTCTGTCACAGTCATACATTATGTCTTCATTTAAGATGCTCTGACAGTGGACAGAAAAGATGATGTGTACACAAGACAAAAACAAACCTCTGAAATGCATTCAGCAAAGTGTAGCTGCCAGAGGGACGGGTGCTGTCTGCCATCCTGGCTCCAGACACAAGTGTCTTTCTCCCCACGTGCTGTGTGGAAGTGCAGGAATTTTCTCTGTTTCTCTATTTTGGCACAGATACTGTAAGGTAAAAACCATGCACTTTATTAGCCTAGAAGAAAACTCTTTGGTGTGTTTACACTGTAACCACACACCTGTCTCTCAGAAATACGAGACAACTGATGGGGAAAGGGGAGGGGACTGACATCTTCAGCTTCCTCTGCACCAGGTGCAGTCAGGCATGTAATATCTTTTTAGCCACTATTTTGAACCAGTGCCACTTTTGGCCTACTGTACCTGCTGAACAGCCCCTGCAGGGAATGACTCCAAAACATGCCCATGCTCTCTGCTCCAGCAAGATCAGTTCTTACCTGGAGCCCTGGCGGGTGCATACATAAGTCAGCCAAATCCTGAAGCTATTCTAGTACAGCTGCAGTTCCTCCAAGTCACAGAAGGACAAAACCACTAAATCTTATACAAAATGTATTGCTGCATTTTTCTTATAGGATGCTGCCAGTTCATGTTCCATTTATACAGGAGGTAGATGTGGCATTAAGGAAACTTGTTGTCTTGTCCCACTGTACCTGTGTCATAAAACATTAATGGAGGGGACAGAGAAGACTGTCCCACCTTCTTAGCTCCTCGAATTAATGTATAAAACAGTAAAATCCAGTTGGATTAACTGTAACAGATCTAAGTGTCTGGTTCTTCTGAATAAGATCGTTTGATATTCCTGGGAAGACAGGGAAAAAGTGAAGATATGTAAAAAAAAAAATATAAAAAGAATAAATTGATTTGTTTTTTTTACAAGAACAAGTTTCTTTGTGTCATGAGGACAACAGCAAAACATGGTTCCTGTTTGTTAAGATAGTAGCCACGCAACTAAGAACAAAGTAGCTGTTATTGCAATACTGATTACATAAGACCAAACATAGAATCATGGAATAATTTAAACTGGAAAAGACCTTTAAGACCATGGAGTCCAACCATTAACCCAGCACTGCCAAGGCCACCACTAAACCATGTCCCCAAATGCCACATCTACACATCCGTTAAACACCTCCAGGGATGGTGACTCTGCCACTTCCCTGGGCAGCCTGTTCCAGTGCTTGACAACTCTTTTGGTGAAGACACTTTTCTTATTATCCAGTCTAAACCTTCCCTGGCACATTTCCTCTTATCCCATCACTTATTACTTGGGATAAGAGACCAATGTCGCTACCCTTTCCTCTCAGGTATTTGTAGACAGCGACAAGGTCCCCCCGAGCCTCCTTTTCGCCAGGCCAAACACCCCCAGCTCCCTCAGACTCAGCCCACTGATCCAGCCTGCTCACATCCCTCTGTGGAGTCTTCCTACCCTCAAGCAGACCAACACCCCCCTCCCAACTTGGTGTCTTCTGCAGCCTTACTGAGGGTGCCCTCGATCCCCTCATCCAGATCATAGATGATATTAAACAGAACTGGGCCCAGTACTGAGCCCTGGGGAACACCACTTGTGATCAGCCACCACTCTTTGGGCTCAGCTGTCCAGCCAGTTTTTCACCCTGTGAAGAGTACACCCATCCGAGCCACGAGCAGCCCATTTCTCCAGGAGAATTCTACAGGAAACAGTGTCAAAGGCTTTACTAAAGTCTATGTAGACAATATCCACAGCCTTTCTCTCCTCCACTGAGCGGGTCACCTTGTCACAGAAGATCAGGTTAGTCAAGCAGGACCTGCCTTTCATAAGCCCATGCTGACTGGGCCTGATAACCTGGTTATCCTGTACGTGCCGTGTGATGGCACCCAAGGTGATCTGCTCCATCACCTTCCCTGGCACTGAGATTAGACTGACAGTTCCCCAGATCTTCCTTCCGGCCCTTCTTGTAGATAGTGTGTCACATTCACTAACCTCCAGTCAATTGGGACCTCCCCTGTGAGCCAGGACTGCTGAGGAATTATAGCAAGTGCCTTGGTGAGCACCACCCTTCCTCCAGCTCCCTTAGTACCTCGTGTGTCCAAGTAGTGGAGCAGGTTGCTGACCATTTCCTCTGCACCCCAAGAACAACTGGTCTTACTATTAAAGACTGAGGCAAAGGCAGCATTAAGTCCCTCAGCCTTCTCCTCATCCTTTGTTACTGCTTTCCCTGCATCCAAGAAAGGATGGAGATTCTCCTCCTTTGGGTGCCAGTGTATTTACAGAAACTTTTTATTGCCTTCCATGGCAGTAGCCAGTTTAAGTTCCAGCTGGGCTTTGGCCTTTCTAATTTCCTCCCTGCATAAAGTCACAATGTTCCTGTAGTCCTTTTGAGTTTCCTGCCCCTGCTTCCAAAGGTCATAAACTCTCTTCCTCCCCCTGAGTTCCTTCTCTTCAGTAACAGCGTGACATGAAATCATGCAGTATTTACTGAAGCAGAATAAGCAATGTGAAACCGGTTTAAGAAAGTATGTCTTGCCACACAATATATGACAGAGCAAAAGGCATGACATGCTTTATCAGCTGTTCTGGACAGGTAGTGATGGCTGGAACTGTTCTGTGCTGCTCAAAAGGGGCAGTATGGAATTGCATTAGCTAATACTGAAATGCACATGGGTATTCCTATCCTCTCTACTTCTTGCATCTGATGGCATGCAACCCTACAAACCAGAGAAAGCAAGGTCTCTATGTTTAGGAACTTAGATCTTCATTGAGAAAGGGATATTAAGGTGATGATTAACGTGAACTCTGAGCTACAGTTTATAAATATGATGAGTCTTTAATTTACACAACAAGTAATAGAGATTAGAGGAAAGAGCTTGAGAGGGAGGGAGAGATACCTTCATATCTAACTTATGTTGCTAACACGCTCTCATTACAATTGGTCTCACAACAAAATCTTTCAAGAGTCAATATGTTTCAGCTTAAGACATAGAAATAGCAAATAGCCATGTGTCATCTACACATTAGAGCAAAGAATTCCCAAACCCGTCCTGCAGCGGAATGCCTGTTTCTTCTTTAAATCTTACTCTGCTTATTTTGTGTCATGAAAGAAGTACCTGCATCTTTGGCAGTTGTAAAAATATCAGGCATGGCACCACCTGCCAGACTAATAACAATAATTAGAAATGTAATAAACTGTTCATTGGCAAGGTAACAAATTGTCTTATCCTTTGAAAGTCACACTGGCCTGAGGCAATTCCTCACAGACATTGGCCATGGATGTCACAAGAGCCTGGGTGAAAAGCACTGTGTGCAGAAAAACAAGAGAGGAACAAAATGAGAAAGAAAACTAAAAAGGCACTGACAAAGAGACACTGAAGCAATGGGGAACAGCTGCAGTGCGCTCTCATCCTAGCGAACAAACCAGCAAAACTAAGGAGTTGAGCATGAAGATGAACCAACCCTTCTGCTTCCCAAAAAAGCTTTCAGACTGGGGCACTTGGAGGATCACATGAACTCCTAGTTACTTGCTTAAGAAGATGAAACAATTTGAAGTGAATTTAGAATGAAAACTTCAGTTGCAATTACTTCTTTTCATCCTCCTTAATTCTTTTCATCTTTGTACAATGATCTTTCATCAAGTAATTTGCACTGGATACCTTCCATAGTGGGTTCCTCAGCCTCTTCTATCTCACACATTTAACTCTAAGCCTGGCAATCTGAGATCAATATGTTTTTAGCACTGAAACTCCTCTAAGTGCTAAAGCAATCTTGGTTTGTCTGCCAAATAGCACTTAATGGCCTGTTCAGGATTTCTCCCTCCCATTATTACTTTCCATTTGAACAGACCACACACAATTTAACATTGCTTGTTTTCTAAGAGAGTGTTTAAAATCATCCTCAGCAATGAAAATCTGGTTTCATTTTTTCATGACCTTATAATGTTTATGCCCCCTCTTCTGTGCAATATGGTTTATCCCTAAAAAGCCAGTTTCTGAGATGTGTGAACATAAAATATTTGCTTCAGTCCCTGCCCTTCCTCATCCATCTTACAGAATATATGCACTGAAGGGAACACAGCTACCGGTTCCCTGCTTACAGAGAAGTGCAGAGAAGAAAATAAAGTCATAAACGCTGCATAAGCACTTCTTTCTGAGGCTTCTGATGATTTCACAGTCCCAGTAAGTCATCTAGGAGGGGCCCATGCCAGGCAGCAGCCTGCTTTTGTTCTTTGCTTTGTACTAAGAAGGGAGGGACATTGCTGAGGTACAACACTTTGAGTATTTATATGATTCATTCCTTCTTTCATTGAATCATTTTCTAGTTTCTAAGATAATACCTCTGGGATGATTTCAACTGCTGCTTGCGGAAGCACAAGGTTTTATGTTTTCCACTATTGTGTGAAGATAAAGATGAAGGAAGGATTGCCCAAGCAAGATGTGAAAATGGTTTGGACAGGATGGAGGAAACTCTCTCCTGTAGCTCTCATTACTGACCATATGGCTCTAAAGCCTTGCACACAGGAGCTTGGCAGGTTAGCTCAGAACCCTGACTACCAGCCAAGTATAGCTCCATAACCTTCCTGCTGAACATGCTGCGTATTTCCCCAAATCCAAGCAGTGCCCTAAACAGTGTCAAATAATTCATCATGTGTTTGCACATACCCACATATGCTATTCCTTTTGAATGCCCCAGGTAAACCCTTCCCACTTTTTCTTTCTGTTTCATAATCAATAGGTGGTAGAAGTTTCATAATCAATAGCTGGTAGAAGTTGAGGCAACACTTGGAGTGGTGGCATTAAGCACCTATGAGCTTTGCCTATAAATACTATAACTATGTTCTAATGAGCTCCTCAGAAACTCATGTTTCAAGAACTAAATTTGAGTCATATTCCTAAAACAGCTTTTTTTTTTTCCTGCAATACAACACTACTAATCCTGTTTATACATCTGGAGCTCTCTCATTGTCAGTGCTTTTTGGGAAGCTTGGGACAAATGTTCCCCCAGAAGTCTATGGAAGTGGAGAACAGCTCCAAGGGCGTGCATGTATTGGCACTAGCTGCTTATGGAGCACTGTAGTTAGGAACATCCAAGCACACTTCAAGAAAGGAAGAAGACAGACCAGTTGTACTGGTTATTAGACATGGTTAAGGGGCTGAAAAAGCAAGAAAGAAACCCAACA